ATTAAGACGTGGCAAGTTAAACTGGGATGATAAATTGAAAAACGGTTCATATCCTAATGATTACCTGGATGGTTTCCCCCGACTTCATAGAGCTTTTCTTTCATTTTGGAAGCCGTTTGTTAAAGTTTTTTTTCAGTTCATACTCATCCTTCCCATAGGAAACCCTTTACTTTTCAGGGATATGCGAACCATGCATGGCAGCTGATGATGGAAAGCTCAAAGGAGACTCCAGTAGCGAAGCGCTCTATCGACCATTCTTCGGATACGAATGAAACGAAAAGAATAGTTGTAAACGACATATCGGAATGCCCTCATGGTCCTCCAGGTCCCCCAGGAAAACCGGGAGCCCCTGGATCGGATGGTGAACCCGGCAGAAAAGGATATCCAGGATCACCAGCTACGCCATGTCTTGCGTACAAATGGGACAGCTGTATTCGCTGTCCCTACGGACCACAAGGACCACCTGGACCCGATGGACCTCCAGGACATCCTGGACGTCAAGGAAACGACGGTCGCATGGGAATGTATGGAAAGCAGGGCGAACCCGGCATTATTGGACCACCAGGAGCTAAAGGTGCTCCCGGTATGCCCGGGATGCCTGGCTGGCCCGGAGTTCCTGGTCGAAACGCCCAAGCAGGAAAAGGAAGACGTGGACCGCCTGGAATGGTTGGTGACGAGGGACCAGCTGGAGCGAGAGGAGCTCCTGGTCCGCCAGGTTTGACTGGAATGCCAGGACTTGTCGGAGCAATGGGAACTGCTGGTAATCCGGGCGGACCAGGTCCAAATGGAGTGCTCGGGATGGAAGGCATGATGGGCTATCCCGGACCTGATGGCACTTATTGTAAATGTCCCAAACGTTCCATAAATTATGAATTCGAGAACAATAATGACGACGATGACGACGATGGTGATGTGGTTAAGAGAAAGCTACGTGGTAAAATTTAACATGCTTTACATGCTTTCTGTACAGTTGTTCATAAATATGAATAAAATAGTATTATTTATTTTGTTATTCAAACATCAAAGGCAAGCCCCGGGATGAAACTGGTGAATAAGAGCGCTTCGTAGTGATGACTGAGCTGCGGAGTGAACTGGATGTGGAAAGGAAAGCAAGAAAAAACTTTAGGGACGCTAAAATTAGAGCTTAAAGGGATGATGTGAATGTTTTGGTGCGAAATGGGCCAGCAGTGAAAAAAGGAAAAGAATCCGTCGAAAACGCTTAGGTTAAGGGCTCACTCACCTTCCTAATCGGCTGTGCTAAGGGAATGAGAGACTAAGCGCGGAGAGGAGAGTATGAGGCGAGAGAGCGCTACAGATGAGAGCGCCAGACAACAGCCTGATAAGAGAAAAAATCTGCAGCTTCAGCAGCTTACTTTGCAAGGCCCAAGCGCTCTTGTCGGTTGGTTTCCGTGCACGGGAACGCCACATTTGTGATTGTCCTCTAGGGGTCTCTACAGACCGAAGGAAGCGTTCACACGACCTCTGCCTTGGAGTTGTGCCTTACTCGTTCAAGCCGGATGTGTGCGGTGGCTGGAGGCAGACGACCAAAGAGGGACGAAGGAACAGCGTGATCTCTGACTCAAGCACGGTGGGCGGAGAGCGTTGCAACGGGAGTCGATGGTTGCAGGCCCGTAAGGATTAGCGACCTAATCGCGCGATTTTTGCGGCAAAGCTGTAGTGAGCTGCATAGAGTACGGACTCTACGATCTCCCTCGCGGTATCCTTCCCACAAATCGTAGCTGAATCCCGGAATTTTTCCTTATAGAATCCTTTATGCGTCCAGGAATGTAAAAAACGATTTTGAATGGATTTTCCTGCCTCCTATAGTTCTATTTCATTATTACCTCTAGCCAAGCATTAGCAGAGATGGGTGTAGTGGAAAGTGGTTCAACTACTGCGTATGTGATGCTGAGATTAAATCTCGGGTCGAATATCACCAGGTCAACCAAGCCTTCGAAGCCTTCGGGGTCGGTTAGGTAACACCTCAGTATGTATAAAATATGGACTTCTTATATCGGGCTTAACCACACTGTGATGCGCCATGATGGAGTATTAGGATGAGTCAAACTAAGGGCCGATTTGTCACATGTTTTCGAAATTCAAAACTCCTTTTAGGATGTCTTATTAAGCGCCAATTCACCACACTGTCTACAACTGTCTATAACTATCCGCTAGTGAATGGATACCTCTGCCGATAAAATATACTCCGCCTTCGATGCAAAGAATAATTGGACATCCACTTGAAGGTGCTCGCCACATTGCAGTTTTCTCCTCCAGGACACGACCAAGCTAGCGGAACAACTGGGCGGTAGTAAAGTATACCTTCAACTCGCAATCAGAGATACGTGATTCAATCAGCTGGACTAAGGATGAGATAAACCGCGAGGTTGACCCTGTACTTAACACGAGTTCCCATTACATTGCCTTGCAAAACCGCACCACTTTTCTGAAGGCCCTGGACATAAGGGTTTTTTTGATCTTGAGCTGCCTATGGGTCTGTTAACGTGTAAATGTGTTCGGAGACGGCTTTAGATTCGGCAAAGCAAACCATGACTCTCACTGCAGGCCTATCACGGCCTATACCGGAACCGTTAACGCGGTTACCAGAAACGGACGGAGTTATAACGGTCCGGGTGGTTGATCGTTGGTAGTATACAGTGGCGTTAGTGAGAGCGGAGGAGATCGTTGGAGCCAAGTTTTATTTTGGGACTCGCTCGTGACATGTGGATTGCAATTTGCCTCGCAGTGGAAGCAATTTTCATCTATTGAAGCCTCAGCTGTGCCATATCCGGAGCAAATCTACGTAACCTGCAAGCAACAGGTGTCTACACAATCAGTGGTGGGTGTCGGTTGAAGCCCGTAGTGAGGCAAGCCAACAACCGGAGTGCGGAACCTACTCTGAGTGAGTAGCTCTCTTGGAGCTCGTTGTCTTTGTGAACTGCATAGCCCACTGACGCCTGCGTATGTTGCCTTAATCGACTGGGAATTCCCCGTTCAGTGACCCCATTTCAAGTCGGTCGGAACAACGACTTTTACACAGCAAACTTCGGCAAATGTTCACAAGTGTCCTCCGAACAACCTCACCCTCAACTCGTGCCGATTCTTCTTTGCAGGGTTCACATTGCCCAATGGCTTATAGGTTGACTCATTTGTGCCTGGGAGACGCAGGTCACTGTTATTTGGTGGGTGCGTTACACGGGCGTTCCAGATGTCCTGATGGTCCAATGATATCCATTCGTAGATGTTGCGGGAACGTCGGATTAGTGTTCAAGCATGTCCGACGTCTGCGGTGCTACCCGAATCACGTTCAATTATCCTCTCTTTTACCCTGTATGGTCCTTCAGCTTCACAAATATCGTGATGAGCCTCACTCGTTGTGCCCTAGACGGAGCTATAAAGTAGGACAGCGACGAACATTGACCGAGGCAACCCCGGTATTAGCTCTTCGCAATAGAAGGATACGTGAGGAATCGTAGAGGTCCGTAGTCCACAGAGAGCTTGCCAACTAGCGCACTGAATGGTGCTTAGAGCGCCATTGGGAGCCTTAAGGCTGCGATCATCGCCCCAGCAACGTCCACCCACCGCCACAGTGTAGGGAACAGCGTGCTCTCTCAAACGGCATCTCTCTCGCGTGTTTTTGTCTTCTCTGGTCGCCCTGCTCCGTATAAAACCCCATCCGACCTTACTGAGGGCTATAGTCTTAATTTTAGTGTTTTCTATGATTATCTTGCTTTCCTTGCCCTGCTTCGGTCACTTGTTCGAACTCAGTCTCACTATGGCATTTTTATCCACAGTTTTTCTTATCCCGGGCATGCCTTTAAAGTGAGTCGGCGTTATATTATCTTACCTTATATCATTTGCAGTGCGTGGAAAAGGTGCTAGATCGGCCTCTTTGCAGGGAACAAAGCAAACATTTTTTCTTGTGGGAAAGATGATGCGGGTGTAAAGAAATCGGCTCTTACTTATGACTCAGCAAAATAAAAGTTAAACCGTAATTCGTTTTTAGGCTTCTTTTGAAAAGCTTGCGATCGTTTCAGAAGTGTCTGATGATTTCTTTGCCTTTCTTCGTCATTAATCGGAAAGCCTCAAGTGCAGAATGACCTTAATTGTCTCATCCATTGCCGAAAGCGATAAATCAGATATATGATTGAATGGAACGATGTTTGAATGAATGAGCTGATTGCAAAGGTTTCCGGATATCCTTCCGATGAAGGCGGCAAATAGGTGCCATGGTATAAATGGCAGTAAATATGAGCTATATATTTACTACAAGGCGGATGTAGTAGCGAGTAAGTCACTAGCCACCCTAGCGGTTGTAATTCGACGATCGAATGGTCGAGTTATACAACGCTCTTTCTCTCTGCTGATTGATTACTTTAGCTTTTAAAGACGGGCAAAACATACTATGCCTTACCAACTGTAGTCTGAATCACTGCGTAGGCTTGATGGGCATTCAGAGCGGTTGAAGAAGTCCGGACACAATGGGTGGAAGCAGGAGCATGCGCAGTAATACGGATTCCTATGGACAAGGAATAATTCTCTTACCCTAAATATTTAAATATCCTTCTATTTTATAAAGCGCTAACTTTGTGTGTCGGTTTGTGTATCTGTATGTGTGTGTGTGTGTGTGTGTATGTATGTATGTGTGTCCGTCCGCAAAATGAAGTGAGTGAGAAGGAAGCTCATGGGATAAACAAACCGCTAACAAATCGGGTAGCTTACAGGATTTGAGATATCATGTTTTGTAGCAGGATAGTTGTGATAACACTCTTCAGGGCTATATAAACACCTGCTTAGCACACTTCCGTTCATTCCACATGGTGCTGCAGTGGCAGCTGGAGGGCAGTGGAGAGAGGAAGGGAGGATGAGGAAGGGAAGCGAAAAATCTACCGTCATATCATGATTGTGTCCCTTCTACTGTATGAAACACCATTGTGTTGCATACGCGTCACTTCCAGGAGGTGTTGGTGTCACAGGAGGAAGGGACCATAGCGGAGGATAGAAAGCTTGCGCAGGAAAGGAAGGTCCCGGCGGTTGACGGGGGACTAATCTGGTTATCTAATATGTTAGCAGGTTGTTTGAAGCTTTCCGTGGTTCAATCGGCTTTTTTTGAAGGTTGGTTCGAGAACTGGCTTAAGTGGTTGGGGGGTACATGGCCAATTAACTGATGAAAAGCCGAAAACGGATACTTGTTGTGTCACCCCAACTGCAGTAGGATTCTTTGCATACTTGGCGGTTGCCCTACATTCCATGATCTGTTCCGCCCGGGAGCAGAATGTCACCAAGCGTTTATTTACAGACGCTATCAGAAAATACGGGGACAAGTGGGTGGCGCGAATAGAATCCGTGGATCATCTCTTCTTAATGGGACATAAGCTTTCAGGCGGAGCGAGGATAGATTTCAGAGTGGCGTGATAATATTATTTCCCTATGATGTTTTCAAGTCCTCTACGGCTTAGTTTGGAAGGCATGAGTTTTGCCGTAGGTGTACAGTGGTGGGCCAAAAGTAATGAGGCACGTGCCGCGTTTTTTTTTTTCGCGTCCTGTTGCAGCATAGTGAGGAGGGTACGAGTGTTCTTCCTATCGCAAACCAATTTCATCGGCGTTCCAAACAAGCCACCTTTACATTTTTCTCATTCTTTTTGTCTATTTTTGCAATGAACCCACAATTCGACTCGACCGACTCGTTCGCCCGTGACTTTTCTTGGTCTGTGAAACAAGCGGGCGAGAAGAATTAAATGGCTCGGGCACTTTGTACCTGGCCTCGCAACGTGTCTCCTGGCTTGCGCTGGGGAATGGAAGGGGCCTTATTATCTTCGCGGTTCTTCGATACTCAGGTGCTTATTGCAGTTACGAGGCCTGTCCGGTGTCTGCATTCAAAACCGCCGTGAACGGTTTTGTCGTTAGAAACGGAGAGGGACCACGCGTCAAGGTAGAGGGGAGAA